TGAACAATGATGCGGATTGTGAATATGTACATTGAGGTGTATATGAGGGAATTATGATGAAATGCGGTGAGAATGCGAAGCAATGTATGTATATATATATATATATATATATATATATATATATATATATATATATATATATATATATATATATATATATATATATATATATATATATGTACATATATATATATATATATATATATGTACATATATATATATATATATATATATATATATATATATATATATATATATATGTGTGTGTGTGTGTGTGTGTGTGTGTGTGTATGTGTGTGTTTATATGCATTGATTATTATGATAATATTTCTCACCCTTCTGCTGTTTTATAATGCTCTATGAGGCATTGCAGATTAGCTTTGATGGAAGTCTTTTGTGAAGTATAGCTTCATTCTTTTGGTCGGTTATGCTTCGATATGTAGCATCGGGTAGTTAGGATTGTATAGTATTCTTTTGGGATAAATCTTGTATATGTATCTGATGGTAAATGTTTACGTAAACACGAATGATGTGATGAAACAAACTGAATGATATGTATATATATGATTACATATTTTAAGTGATTCAATGTTTAGATTTTCCGCTTTAATTCTAAATATTGAGATGTGGGTGTAAGGACTGAGTTCCTCTGTTGAGCTACCCCACTGTTGCATATCTCTATTGAGCAGGTGTTGTATGTTTTATTTCACATCTTGTGTGACATGCTCCTTTTATACCATGTTTTCAATTATACTCTGATGAAATTTTATTATGTGCCTAAATAATTTATTGTTTATTTGGGGGTATAGAATGGGGTGTTACAGTAAGAACTTGGTGAGGATGAATTCTATCTTTTCTTCTCCCACTTCGAATGTTAGCCTATCTTTCTTCACGTCTATGATAGCTCCGGCTGTGGCTAGGAAGGATCTTCCTAAGATAATCAGGGTAACTGAATCTTCCTTAATATCCATTATTATAAAGTCGGTTGGGATATATAATTGACCTATGCGCACTGGAACGTTTTTTAGTATACCGACAGGATATTTGACAGATCGGTCAACTAATTGGACGAACATTTTGGTTGGTCTTAATTCACCCATATTTAGCTTTTTACATATGGATAGGGGCATAACACTGATACTGGCTCCTAAATCGCATAAAGTTTTGTCTATGACAAACTTTCCAATGACACAAGATATGGAGAAACTACCTGGGTCTTTTAGTTTATGAGGCATGTTGTTTTTAATGATCGCGCTACACTCGGCAGTAAGCGTGACTGTTTCATTATCCTCGATCTTTCTCTTGTTAGATAAGATTTCTTTGAGAAATTTTGCGTATGAGGGCATCTGAGTGATAACTTCTGTGAAAGGTATTGTGATGTTTAGTTGCTTCAGAAGTTCTACAAATTTCTTAAATTGCCCTGTAGTTTTGGAGTTTAAAAATCTTTGAGGATAAGGAATCGGTGGCTTATACGATGGTGGAGGCACATACGAGTTTTCATTTTTGGTGACCTCTTTCTCGTTATCTTCCTTCTCTTCGGTTTTAGACTTCTTAATATGACAACATTTGCATGACCTTTCGGATTGGGTTCTAGCTGTCCAGGAAATGTGCTAGCGGGTGCGGCTGCAGAGGCTTGTTGTTGAGCCACTTGTGATATCTGTGTTTCAAGCATTTTGTTATGGGTGTCTAAAGCGTGTACTTTGTTGGTTAGCTGTTTAATTTGCTCGCTAGTGTGTATATTTTAATTCAAGAATTCCTTGTTGGTCTGAACTTGAGTAGCTATGAATTTTTCCATCATCAATTCAAGATTTGATTTTCTAGGGGCATTTGGAGCAGCTACGGCGGGTTTTTGATATCCTGGTGGAACAGCAGGTGGTTGATTAGGTGCATACAATACGTTATTGCTTTTGTAGGAAAAGTTCATATGGTTTTTCCAGCCTGGGTTGTAGATGTTCGCGTAAGGATTACCTTGAGCATAGTTCACTTGGTCTGTAGGGATTCCTGCCAGTAACGGACATTCGAGCATAGCGTGACTTGTGATTCCACATAACTCACAAGTTGGAGTTACAACAGCTACGGTTGCTGGCGGTGCTACGGTTAGACTGTCGATCTTTTGCGTCAGGGCATCTACTTTAGCGTGGACCTTTTCAAGACTACTGATCTCGTACATCCCACCTTTTGTTGCGGGTTTCTCTGTTGGAGTTCTCTCACCTCCCCATTGGCAATGGTTCTAAGACATGTTCTCGATAAGTTGATAGGCTCCGTCATATGGCTTATCCATAAGTGCACCGCCCGCGGCGGCGTCTACCGTTAGTTTGGTGTTGTACAAAAGCCTATTGTAAAAGGTATGAATAGTCACCAAGTCTTCTAGACCGTGGTGAGGACATGCTCTCATCATATCTTTGAATCTTTCCCATGCTTCGTAGAGAGATTTGGCATCTTTCTGTCAAAATCCATTAATTTGAGCTCTTAGCATAGCAGTTTTGCTTGGCAGAAAGTATCTCGCTAAGAAAACGTTCTTCAACTATTCCCATGTCGTAACAGAGTTGGATGGCAAGGATTGTAACCAAGCCCAAGCTCTATCTCTAAGAGAGAAAGGAAAAATACGAAGTCTTATTGCGTCTGGAGTTATGCCATTAGCCTTCACTGTGTCGGCATACTGCACAAACTTTGTTAAATGTTCGTTCGGATCTTCTGTTGCACTTTCGGAGAATTGATGTTGTTGTACAGCTGACAGCAGTGATGGTTTTAGTTCGAAATCATTCCGATTGATAGTGGGGGCAACAATGCTACTGTGAGGCTCTAGTTGAGATGGGGTAGCGTAATCCTTCAGGGGTCTGTTCTGAGGTCCTTCGGCCATTTTTGAATCTTCACCAGATTCAGGAGTATGAGTAAGAAGTTCGAGAATATTACGTCTTCGTTGATGTTCTATGAATCGTCTTCCCAAGTGTAGGAAGCGCTCAAGTTCGGCGGTTGTTGGTAGTAAATTTTCGCTTTGAGAGCGAGTAATTGGCATACAATCGACGAACGAGTAAAACGGGAATAAAATAGTTAACCTAGTCTATACTGCATAATAGAGTTCTACACTAGTGACTAAACAAGTCCTCGACAACGGCGCCAAAAACTTGATTGCGACTTTCTGAGTCTAACTGAACTAACTGCAAGTGCACAGTCTATCGCGTAGTAATAAAAATATCGATCCCACAGGGACTCGTAATCAATCTAGTGCTATCGGGTGTTACTATGTTTATCTAGGTTGGAATGAGGTTCTAAGGAATTCAATGCGGAAGTAAAGGCTAAATTTAAAGAAGATTTTTAAGGTTTAAGAATACTAATAAGGGACCTCGGCATGTAATACTTTAGCTTCCGGGGATTCGACACATCGCCGATGCAGTTCAATCTTTGCAAATGGTTTTTCAGGAGAAAAATAATCGTTTAAAGACCATTGTCTCACGTTGGTTGTTGACGCTAGTCGTAACTCTAAGGCAGAATGTATGCTTTCGCTATCCCATTCGGGGTTAAAATCACTTTTTGAAAACAACTAAGTTCTGATTTCTTTTAAAGCGCTTTCGCAGTGTTTAAAATAAATGCCTAGTTTTTATTATCTGGTTCGAACCCCACGCTTTCGCGTACCGGTTCGTGCCTTAATGAATTTCCCACTGTCGTGGCAAAACTACTGAAATAATTTCTCGCTTTCGCGACGAAGGTTTATTTAGAAGATTTTAATTAAAAACTACGACCAAAAAAGAGTTTGTAAAAATGAAAGGCACTAGTTATTATCGAACCCCGTCCGACTTATTTATTACATACCGATTAAGTGGTTTAGCTAGACATGGTAATTAAAGTTTGCATAATTAAACAATGGTTGCGAAATAAGGGAACATGCATTTTTAAGACAAACAAAATAACAATTAAATTAATAAAAACCTGAAATAATACTGTTCTCGGATCTTCAGTAGTCCTCCACAAATGGCGGCAGGATTCTACCTTGGCGAGAAGTAAGTGTGCGGAAAGGGAATACAAAAAACAATACAAATCAAAGGAAAAGAAGTAAAGGAAACTGGAAATAATGCTGGAAATAAACTTGGCTTCAATAATAATTTTAGCATCACTTCGTTCTCTTCAATGCGGCCCCCTTTTCTGGTCTAGCACCTCTCTTTTTATAGCTGAGGTTCTCCCATAAAAGTCTCAAGGGGTTGGACTGGGGTTGGAGTTGAGGGTCAGGAAATATAGGAGAACGTTCCTATATTTTATGAGCTTGCATGGGCACGTTGATATTAAGAACGTTATTCTGTTTTTTGGCTGCATGACAAGCGTGAGGGAAAAGAGACGAACGTGAGGTGCATGACGGTCGTGAGGGACCTCTGACGGTCGTGAAGGCTGTCACGGTCGTGGGACCTGTGACGGTCGTGATGATCACAAAAACTGTCTTTTCTGCTATTTCTTGTCTTTTTCCTTCTGTTTTGTGCCTTTGACTGTTGGTTTCCTTTAGCTTGCTCATTTAAAGTGTGAACTTCATATACCTACAAAACACTTGACAAATAGCTCGGAATAATCCGAAATCAGGGTGAAACCAAACATTAACAGCTGGAAAAACCTGACATTTATAGTATATATTTTCACGTTATCAAACTATAACATATATTTAACCATAAATCACTTTATTTATAATACAATTTCCGCAATACTATTTTAACACATGATTTATTCAAATGTATCTTATTCTATTTGTGCTAAATTTTGTTTACATTTAATGTTTAGTCACATTTGTAAACAAACACTTAAAATACAAGGGAAAGAAGCCTATATTTTTTCATGTTTAAGAAAACAAGAAGAAAGTTTGAGACATATAATTTCCTCTCCTCCACATGTGCTTATAAAAAAGACAATTGTCATATCTTAATCTATACAACCGTTGCAATCCCATTCCCACATTTCCCCTTTTATAAACAAATGACACAACATCATTCACATAGTTTCCTCCAAACAAACCTACGAACATGTCTCAATCATCATCATCCTCCATGTCTCAAACCACCACCCTCATCACGCTCCTCTTCTTCTTCCTCTTCCCAACCACACTCTCCCAAAACACAACCTTCACCTTCCCTTCTTTCACTCTCCGCAACATAACCCTCCTCGGCGACTCTTTCCTCCACGACGGCGTTGTTGGACTCACCCGCTCCACCACCGTCCCCGCTTCCACCTCCGGCACCCTCCTTTACAACAACCCCATTTCTCATATACCCAATTCCTCTTTCTCTTTCTCCACCAACTTCACTTTCTCCATCACTAACTCAAACCCAAACCCTCCGTCTTCCTCACCCAACCACTTCTCCTTCTTCCTCAACTCCACCACCCCTTTCGTTTCCCTCGATTTTCACACAAACAATAACCAAATCAGTTTGTATTTCAACACTTCAGTCCAAGAAACCATTGATTTCAATCTCACAAATGGAAACTTAATCACTTCTTGGATTGACTATAACTGTTTCAACACAAACTTCACTGTTTTCTTAAGCTATGCAAATTCAACTTTTTCGAAACCTGAAAAGCCTCTTTTGAATGTTGAATTTGATCTTTCTGAGTATTTCAAGGATACTGAGTTTCTCTATGTTGGGTTTTTGGGTTCTGCTTTAGGAAGTACCGAGCTTCAACAAATCATGAATTGGAGCTTTCAATCTTCTCAGTTTCTAGATAAAAATTCATCCTTTCACCATGTGGGCTATGAAAATGAGGATATACCTGCTTCAAATTCAACAAAGAAAGGTCATGGAAAGAGATTTGTGATTGGTTTATGTGTTGCTATTGTGGGTCCATCTTTTGTCTTTCTTCTGTTATTTGTTTTAGGCTTTTTTTCTTATAGGAAATGGACTAGTTTAAGGAAGGTTAACAAGAGTAAAAACTCTATGGGGTGTCCTACAGAGTTTGGTTACAAGGAATTGAAGTTTGCTACAAAAGGGTTTCATGGTTCAAGGATAATAGGGAATGGTTCATTTGGGACTGTCTATAAGGCTTTGTTTGTTTCTTCTGGTACAGTTGCTGCTGTTAAAAGATCAAGACATTCACATGAAGGGAAAACCGAGTTTTTATCCGAGTTATCGATTATAGCTGGTTTACGACACAAGAATTTGGTTCAACTTTTAGGTTGGTGTGTTGAGAAAAATGAATTGTTGCTTGTTTATGAGTTTATGGTGAATGGAAGTTTAGATAAGTTGCTTTATAGAGAAGGTAGTGAGTGTGGTGTTTTGTTGAATTGGGTTCAAAGGTTTAACATTGTGGTTGGTTTGGCTTCTGTTTTAGCTTATTTGCATCAAGAGTGTGAGCAAAGAGTGATTCATAGAGATATTAAGACGGCGAATATATTGTTAGATGGAAATTTGAATCCGAGGTTAGGTGATTTCGGATTGGCGAAGCTTATGGATCATGATAAGAGTCCGGTTTCGACGTTAACGGCGGGAACAATGGGATACCTAGCTCCGGAGTATCTTCAATATGGTAAAGCGACGGATAAGACCGATGTTTTTAGCTTCGGAGTCGTTGTTCTTGAGGTTGCTTGTGGTAGAAGGCCGATTGACACAGAGCGTCAAGAGATGGTGAATTTAGTTGATTTCGTATGGGGACTTTATGCGAAAGGGAAGATTATCGAAGCGGTTGATAAAAGATTGAACGGCGAGTTCGATGAAGTTGAAATGAGGAAGATGTTGTTGTTAGGTTTGAGTTGTGCTAATCCTAATAGTGATGAAAGGCCTTCTATGAGAAGAGTTTTGCAGATTCTTAACAATGAAGGTGTGCCTCTTGTTGTGCCTAAAGTGAAACCTTGTCTTAGTTTCTCTTCTGGATTGTTGTTGACTCTTGATGAGATTGTTTCGGATTTTGATGAAAGGTTTAGTTCTAATCAAAATAGTTGCAAGATTCAAATTGAAACAAGTAGTTGAGTTTGTTCATCTGATTGATTCTTTGGTTCTTTTTTATATATATACTTTGTTGTAATGTTTATGATTGTTGTAATAGTCTTAGTCATGAGTTCACTTTGCTTGGAGTTCAAGTAATCCATTGAACTTCATGTAACCATGGTGTATTCAAGACATATATAGAAGAACATTTTTACCTAAGTTTAATTGATGGCATTGACTAAAAGAAAAGACCCCATAACTAGAAGAAACATTTGAAGACTAGTTCAATTACTCCTATAATTTAATTTGCATTATTGATGGCATTGACTGAAGGCTACATTGACTGAAGGCTAGATTCCATTCACTATAGTCCATAGTGTAACGGCTACATGAGGCAGCAAGCTCTGAAACCCATCTTGATTAGACATAAACATAGAAAAACAAACACAAAAGACATTAATTAAACCACTAATGCTCAATCATTTTTAGTTTAAAAAAATGTAAAAACATGTCTGTGTTTACTAATCATTGCCAATGTCAAAATAGTATATTGAAAATGTGTAATTATTTATGGCACTTATTTAGCCTTCAAAATTAGTTTTGGTAAAATTTCGAGTTTTAAATTTTGTTGGTAAATTTTTATTTTATAAGCCATAGATAACTTAATATGAAGTAGTTATTAGTTAGTATGAAAAATATAATCGTTAATTCAACCATGTGACTTCAATCAGAAAAAAAAGATAAACAAGCAATCATGTAAGTTTGAAAAGCATATAATATAAAAAGAGTCACCATGTATGAAATCTTGCAACGGTCATAAAATAGCACATTGAATTATTCATTTTGCGACAAAGTGGAAATGGACCCCATAACCACCACTGGCCCCTTCGCCAATATATATATATATATATATATATATATATATATATATATATATATATATATATATATATATATATATATATATATATATATATATATTGTTTTGCGCAAGATATTATTTTAGTTTTAGTATTGTGTTGAAAGTTCATAACATATATATTAATTTTAAATTTGTACATAAGTTTAAAATTATATGAAACACATTAAAAGTAATTCCTTAAACACTTCTATTATACACGGTTAATCTTGATGCATCTATTACACCATATTGGCTTAGGTTAGGTGAATAAGAGATGGACAATGTTTATTCTAATAGAAATTATGATTAAGAAAGAAGGAGATTTTTGACAGAGGATGTAATTTTTTAAATATTTATCATATTAAATAGTTCACAAATATATGTGTTATATCCCAAATTTTGACCCTAGATTTTATCATCATTTTAGAAGTATCATACTTTGCATTGTTAACTCTAACCTTGTACAAGTTCTCTTTGTTTTGTTCATCTATGAATTAGGGTTTTGAATCAAGAGGATCTTTATTTGACTAGTCAATGTCTTGGATTGATCATCAACCTACCAAGTGTGCATACACTCAAGAGGTCTCTCTCCATCAAAAAAATCAAGTGCAAGTTGGTCTTGTTACAAGTTCATCAAGATTCAACTTCATCTGACCGCAAATTAGGGTTTCATAAGACAAAGTCAATTGTGCCTTTGACTTTTGATCAAGGAATTATCTCAAGCCTTGAGACATGATTCAAGATGATCAAATACATCCTTAGAGTCCACTCATGATGCTTGAAAGACTAAAGAGTTTAAGATAATTGAAGATCACACAATCAATTTCATCTGATACACAAGCCTTTAACTGCAAAGTCAACTCTTTGACTTTTAATATTTTTGGTCAAAATTGGAGTCCCCAAGCTAAATTCCACGAAAATATGTATTATCTTTGAATTTGATCATGAAAAACCAAGAATTTGGAGGTTTCTTACAAAAGGGGTAAAGTGGAAGAAAGTTGATTTTTTTTCTAAGTGTGGTAAAAATCCCTAATTTGGTACCAACTTTGAAACGTCATAACTTTCAATCTATACCACTACTTTTTAGGTTTCAAAGATCAAATTGAAGCCCTTACAACATACTAAATTTTGTCAGTGAGGGTTAATCTCCATAAAAGTGAAGGAATTTTGAGTTATGAAGCCATCAAGTGAGTAAGAAAAGTTCCATACTTAGAAAATTTTTCAAGGCAGATTTAAACTCGCAAAAGTACCAAACTTTGGGGCCAGTTTTCATTATGGTTCATTGAGAATTAAGGAATTCTTCAAATATGAAAGTTGTAGAGCATATTTGGGGCTTTTCAAAAAATACAAGAACTCATTGATACCATTCTTGAGTTGTGAGTTTCAAAGAGACAAAGTTGGCCTTCCATACTTGAATTCTAGGCCCTTTCTCATGCCACAAGTTTGAGAAAATCCAACAAAACATGCATGATCTTGCTTTGCAGACCTTATTGCTTATTAATCTTCACATAATTAATGGTTTAATACATATCATAGATGCATTATCCAAGTGTTTTGAGCTTTATGCAATGGAATATGCCATTTTGGGAAGAAAGTTCTCACTTCCATTTTGAAAAAGTCACTTTAATCACAATACCAAATCTCCTTGAGCCTCCAAGTTGTCTAGCTGCACTCAACCTTTTCTTTACTCAAAAGCAAAATGTTTGCACTTTACAACCACTCTTGTACTATGCCTTGGAACTCATACAAACTCATGAAACTAACACTTTGATTCTAACCAAACCAAGCAAATTCCAAGTTGGCAATTCTGTAGAATCTTAGCTCCAACTTTTCCCTATAAATAAAGCATTGTATCACGCTTCTAAACACAATAAAAACCTCAGAAAAACACTCATACAAGCATCATACCATCACCTTGCAGAATCCATTATCTCTTGTGCAAGAAAACTTCACTTTGCACAAACCACCCCGTATGCATTTCCACACCTAAAATCATCAAATCACTTGCTCCAACACATTATAAAGGTGTTCAAACACTTACATACATAAAAAATAAGCCAAATCAGAAAGTCAACCTTCAATCCAAAAATCATTGACTTTCTGCATCTTCTATCCCATAACTTCATTTAGACCATATTCAAGCACTTTGATCACACAAACTTAACCCTTAAACATGTCATGAGGTGTCCATAACATCATTCCCCAACTGTGTGTCCATTTTTACCATAATCAAAATTCTCACATTCATCATTTTGCAAGAGAAAGGTATCAACCTGTTCTAGGTATTTTCAAGGGAGTACAGACATTAGAAAAGTTTCTAGGAGGATCAAGGAAGTAATCCAAATCACCATCTTGGTTCTATAACAGCTCTTGTAGATTTTCCAAGTTTGATTTCAAGAGGTAAGTCCATTTTCAACTACAACTCACTAAACCATGCCATATTTTGACTCAACATGAACTATGAACTTGCTTGAAATGATTTTTGTGATGTTGTCCTTCAATTATTTGTTACTTATCATGTTTATATGAAACTGTTTGTTAAAAAATGCATATTTTAGGGTTCTTGAGGTTCTTGTTTCAATTTTTGGATTAGGATCAAAATTAGACAATTTGAGTTATACCATTGAATTCCTTGTCAAAAAATACACAGGTTTGGTTTTTACTTCTTTGAATTTCATTAAGTATTCATGGAGTTACATGTGCTTTTGCAAATGATGAGGATGATGGAGTTTCTTGCTTCATACCAAGGCCATGGCGCCTTTTGTTGTGTTTTCAAACCTGGTTTCCCTTATATTTTTTAGTTTTCATTTCATAACCGGATGCAACAGGCCACCCCAGTAGTGCCACCTTTTCCTTGCCTTGCCTTGTATGCGCTTTGTCATGGGTTTGATCCTTGGTGACTATCCTTTTGATATCTCTGTGCATTTTATTTTAGTTTAGCATTCAGGATTGGATTTTAAATATATATATATTTCACTCCTCACATATTGTACAAAGAACACACGTGGTTCACATGTTTAAGGTTTTAACCTGTAACCAACCAGACGTGGGTTCAAGACCTGCCAAGACCACTTCCTCATTTTTTATCACTTATTTTCTCATTTTTCTTTACAATTTGAAAACATCATAACTTCTTCATCTCAAAATCTTTTGAACTTATTCTTTTTTCCAATTGTTCATGAAAATGTCTAAGTTCTGTTTGTAAAAACAATTTCTCAAAAACATTTAGTTTTCTTACACTTTTACTTGTTCAAAGTAGGTGAATTTTTTTAGGGTTTTTTTAAGGTTTCTTTTGCATTCTTTGATTGATTTTTTGGTTTTATTTGTGCATATTAACTTGTATGAACCTCTTATACCTTGTATAGACCTTATGGGATGTTGTGAACTTGTACATTTTTGTTTTAACTTGAGTTTGATACATTTTTGGTGTATGTTTACATATTAAAGTGTATGTTAAAACTTTAATCATGCCATGATATTTTTTCTTGATCTTTTTTCCTTGATATGCGATAATATCCCATGTTTATTTGACCTTGACGTACATGTGTTCCCTTGTGTGGATTATACCATGGTTATGTGTTCATAAACACTTGATTTTTGTCTTAATATGCCTTTGTATACATGGTTGTATGTCTAAACCTTTATGATGTTTCCATCTTGTTTAAGACCATGTTTGAACCCCTAACATGAATGTTTGGTTGTTACCTACTTGTACTAAACATGTTCAACGCGTATCCATGTTTGAATATTCAAGTAATGTCTTAACTTGTTCATATGACTACATGATATTTAATCATACCATGTCATCTATATGCATGTTCACATGTCATCCTTTAGGTGCTTGCATCCTCCATCCACATGTTATTGTTATGAACATGTCTACCTTATCAAGTATGCTTTGGTTACCTTTACTTGTATTGAACATCTTAAATTGTATTTATAATTAAGTAGTGTTTAACTTAAACCATGTCTCAATATGATTCCTTAGCTTGTATGTGTCATGTTTGAACCATGTTTTAATCCATTCATGTTGATTGACATTACTTATGTTTGATATCAATATCCATGCATTGTTGAACTCTTGAACCTCTACACATGTTACATAATGTTTTGACTTACACATGTTTGTTTTTAACCATGA